CCTCTTCTCAACGGGGGTGCTGATCCGGGCTGCCCACGGCCCGGATTTCCGTGCGACCTTAAGACTTTAAGATCGCGCGTCGATCCAGGCCGTCCGGTAAAGCGGACGGTCTGGATCGCCGCGCGATCTTAGTCTTAAAGGCTTGAAGTCTAAAGATCGTGCGAAAATCCAGGCCGTCAGCCGGTAGGCCACGGCCGGCCCGGATCGACCAAATGTTGCGCGCCAAATTGCGATTTCTATAAGTGTAGGGATTTGAAGATGAATCAGTTTCTAGCTTGAGCCTCAGACGGCTGCACCTGCCTTTCTGTTCTCGTATACCGAGCCCTTTGTCGATGAACCCATGTCTTTGGAAGAACACAATCATCTTTGCGCTCTTCACCTGACCAGATTGTGCTCAAACCCCTCATCAAAAGACCCCGAATTAAGGCTCTGCTGAACTGCAGAGCCATCTGAAACTACATTTTCCCACATGGGGTTCAGAAACTCCATCTGGGCCTCAAGGTCACAGACCAACATCCGCAATCTGTGACAACCCGCCAAGTTCTAGAGGTGTGTCAATCACCTTTGATTCTGTGGGAGAAGCCAGCCATTGTGAGATCACCCCCTTATGGGTCTTCTCAAACCCTTGCCTATCCCTGATGGCCCTGGTGAGTCAGTGTCAATTGACTTCGCTGATCTTGGCAAGACTCCCCCTAGTGGGACGAGACAGGTCATGGTTTGTATTGATGAGTGGAAGCCCTATTTTTGTAAGGGCTATCGAGATTTAGGACTGGACACGACATTTGGCTAACATCCTAAAGCCAGTTCACAAGCGAGGTGATGAACCAGGTTCTGTTATAGCTACTCAGACCTGTGATCTGGTCTGATCAGCAACAAGATCACTACAAACATCTGTCTAGGGCTCAAGTAATGCACAATACACGTATCCACACCACTGTAGGATTCACGTCTTACAGGCTACAATGTGGCAGAGATCCAAGACACCCTCTTGATGAACTCTTTAAGTCTAGCACCAAGCTAACTCCTCGCACTACAGAGTTTGTCAAACGGTATGAATTGGACTTAGAGAAAGCACGTGCTCACATGCACAAAGCCCAGAAGAGAATGTTCAAACAGGCTAACAAACATCACTGTCCCTCTACCATCAGGCCCAAACGGTTAAGAGGTCTGAGTTTTCTGATGAAGTGGATATTTTTCATATACTGTTGCCCTTGTACTATGGTCCATGGCAAGTTCTGGATATTGTGGGAGCAGATCGCTTTGGTCCATCGTATGTCCTTGATATTCCACCATATTTCAAGACCTACCCCGTTCTTCATGCATCAAAGTCACTACCTTTTACTCCGGATGCATTCCCAGGCAGGCCCCCTCGATTCCATCCACCCATCCCAGAAAAGGGATAGGGTACTGACCCCAGCTGAGCGTATCTTGTCAAATTCCTATTCCAACCACATATTGAGAACAGGTGCTTTACACAGAAGGAACTTTGCAAGACGGCCATGTCCATTGTATTGGCTTATGAGAAGAAGCAGAAGGGTTTACTGCCCTGGCACTCAGCTCGCTGTCACTATCAGCTCGGAGGTCCTCACTCCTCGGGAATGCAGCGTTCTTGCAGTTTCTCAGAGGGTTACAGCAATAACCAGGACATTTTTGTAACTTTTTTAAGTTTTGGGTCCTGAAGGGTAACTACGCCTGAGCCTAAAGTGACTGGGACTTATCTGCAAATCCCCTACACTACCAGGAAAACAGGTACCTCTCAAGCCTGAACTTGTTTTAGGCCTAAACGGACAGCTACACAATTATCCCTCAAACTGGTACCTGCATTACCGGGAAAATGTAGACCCATAACTGCTAGACGGTCAGATCCGACATGAGTCCAGTCCAGCATGTTAGTGTAGAAGTATATTCATAGAGTAGGCTGAAGTGGTAGAGGTCGTTTGGTTGGTTTTCTCTCGAGGCCGCCAGGCTGCTGGAGCAGCGTTACAGCTGAGTCGCTGCTGAGTGTTCGAGGCAACAGTGAAGTCGGTGCTTCACCTACTGTCCGGGCGACATCCATATCTGTGGTGCCAGGGTTACGCACTGCCGTAACTACTTTTCGGGGAGGCAGCAGTTCTTCTTCTTCAAGCTGGAGGTTTCCTCTTCATCCTAGGGCTAGCGCTAGTGGCACTGAGTGTGTTCTGAGCTCGTGCTGGTGGTCTGCAGACCTGTAGGCTGAGGCTGGGCACCAAACTTCAGAGAGAAATTGGGTGATGCTGCAATGCGGAGGGAGACTCTGCAGGCTTGTTGAACTGTGTCGTCAAATTTTGTTCAGGGTGGTTTATACTCAGTTGTGATTCTTGGCTTCTTGTGTGAGTCTGGCTGAACTTGTGGAGACAATCTAAACAATTTCCACTGTGCATATCTCTCTTCAGTTTGACTGTGAATCTTTCTCCATATCCACTTTGTCAACTTCGCATGTGTATGGGAACATGATGATGCTCTACTGAGATACGAGTCACATAGCAGGGTCCTAAGAAGCTGGGCCCATTCCACATGTCCCGATCTTCTATGGTAGATTAGTGTGAACTTTATCTCCCTTGAAAGTCTTTTTCTTTTGCTTGTTTTCTTGAGCCTAAGAAAAAGGTAGTGATTGTGGTTGTGACAAGTCTTCCAGGAATAGCACGAAGCTGAGTGCGACCTTTCCCATTTTGTGTGTTTACATCGCTTGTGCTCATCCCCAAAATGATACACAGCAGCTTTGCATGGAAAAAGTAACAAATTAGGGGCACACTACCATCTTCCCCCAAAGACAACACACCATGATCATTAATCTTTATGAACTGTCTTTCCGGTTCGATACAGTCGAACGTTGATGGTGTATTGTGGTAGGGGGAAGACCATAGTCTAGTACAAGATGGAATAGCAATGGATGACGTTCATGCTAAGCTAGCTAGAATCCCATCCTGATTGCCATGGAATAGCAATGGATCAGAGTCATGTTTAGCTTGCATGGAATAGCAGCAAAGAGACCTAAGCCCACACTTATCACTATTGATTGCTAGTTTAGTATTTATGGCTATGACTGCTCTCCCCACCCCCAACCTTACACCAGTCAAAGGCCAAGCCTGGTTTGCTCCATGGACTAGTCCTTGAGAACAGATGGCAGAGCAACGCTAAACCACCATGGAATGACGCCCTCCGTCATTTCCATCAAAGCAGATACGGATACCCGCTCACTGCACAAGGACGGCACATGCAACTCAAGAAAGAACGCCCATATTTCCCAACATATGCAGACAGGCGAAGGTAGGTGTGGGCTGTCAAGGAGTGGAAAACCAGGTTCTTCTCCCGAACATAATGCGCCACCGTCATGAATGTAGACAAGCTGTCTGTCCCACTCCTATACATCATGAACGAGGACAGACAATGCATTCAAGGAAAGAAGGCAGCATGGACAAGCAACAATAGAGAGACATAGCATCCATACTAAGCTAGCATAGAATAGCAGTAATAGAACTAGACCCATGCTAAGAAACCATGGAATGCCAGCAATAGATCAACAAGGGTCACAGTTACTGATATTCTGTTCTTCAGCTTAGCATAAACCTTACTGATATTCTGTTCTTCAGCTTAGCATAAACCTGACCTGTTCTCATGGACAAGTGGTGAGCAGTTGCCCCGGCACCATACAAAGGCACAGCCAAGCCCAGTGCTTCTCTGAAGACAGACTAAGGGCATACTTCCATAAGACTTCAATGGATGTGGCAGTGTCTCACGGCCAAATTCAGTCAAGGAAGCACACTCTGCATCAGGATGGACTTAGACACACGGGTAGTCGGTCAGTGAGAACTTCTTAGAAGTTTGCCGATCTCACCTGTGTCGCAGTCTGAGAAGTGGATCTGAACCGTTGGCCCACCCATTGACCAGTTGAGATCTTCTCTGCGAAGCACATGAGTGTCAAACTATGCACAGCTCTGAGCTTTCTACATAACACAGGAGAAGATGGAGCGGCCTTAGACTGCAAGAAGAAGAACTTCAAAAAAGGTTTGCCAGCCTTAAGAACAGAGCCAGGACCATATGCCCTCTGTCCCATTCGACCTGAATGGTACCGGTTCCACCAAATGCTCTCATTGTGACAGTTTCCCATCATACAGCTCTCCATCTTAGGGTAGATTTTCCACAATAAAAAAAATAAAAAAAATCTAGGAGACGACACAGAGATGTGGCTCAATGGTGAACACTGTGCAGTCGGAGATAGGTGAAGCACTCATAATGATACGCGAAGGGCACAAAAATATATATTCTACCAGCATTACCAGAACAAAAGCTCGGAGGGGGTTTAGCCGCCCTGGGTTGGTGCGAGTAAAGTAGCCCATTTTTCTTGGGGGTATCCTAACTGGGAGATGTGGCGAGTCCTTATCCATCAGTCAAACGCATCGTAGGCAGACTGTCGGGTTCAACTTCCTGACAAGTCGGTGAAAGTCTGAAGAATTCGGCACAGTGATGCTTTTGTTGTGAAGTTGTGTATATCAAACATGGGACAGCATGCACACATATCATACATGTGCACACACACACACACACACACACAAACACGCACATCAATCAATCAGTCGATCAATCCATCCATCCATCAATCAATCAATCCATGGATCCATCCATCAATCACACACACACACACACACACACACACACACACACACACACACACACACACATCAGGGGTGAGGGGGAGCGGGTCAGCGGTTAGCTGGCAATGGCCCTCCCCCCTCGAACAATTTTTTTTTTTGAATATCAGGGCAGGTTGAACATATGCCCGACAAATCAGAAAACAAATAAAAGACAAGAAAACTTTAAGAAAAGGTCTAACTGCCGTTTGGGCCGACTGTTCGGGCCAAACCCAGACCCTGGTTACCCTGTATACTACAATTTCCCTTTTTTTTGGAAATTTCCATAATTTTCCTCCTATTTATTTCCCTATTTTCTACCTGTTGTTGAAGGCATACAGAGCACAAACAAACCTCAAGCTCAGGGTCCACCTCGTTGAAGACCATTTCCGCCACAGCAAGGCCTGSCAGCACCCCATTTGCTTTTGAAAGAAATTTTGCCTCAGCACGCACCTCCGCAGGAATCGTTGCATTACATGTCACATCCCCTGTTAACCACATGTCACAGGCACAAAGTTCCACACACAGATCCAGCAAGCCATGGTTGATGTYARACACATCTGCACAAAATGGACACTAAGCAACCCCGTTATTTTCACTTAATATGCTAGGGAAAACATCAGTAAATCATCCTTACCGGACCCTTGGTGATCATTACAAGACCATTGGTCATCATTACAGCATCCTTGGTCATCATTACAGGACCCTTGCTCATCATCACAGGACCGTTGCTCATTGTTACAGGACCTGTTTTGCATGCGATCAAATCTTGCTTTGGCATATGATCAAACCAGTCTTCTACCATGTGATGAATGGGTGTTGTAGCCATCCTGTTAACTATGTGATTAACTTGTCTTTAACCCATGAATGAACAAGAGTTGTAACCATACTTCTGCCACACTGCACAGGTCCGCCATGTGGTGCGGTGCGCGGACCGGTGATGCGCAGCACTGGGGACATGACTCTGCACCTCGTGTGCATGCACAGGAGCAGTCCTTTCTTGTTGTTCCTTTTTTTTATGTGTGTGTGTGTGTGTGTGAGAGAGAGAGAGAGAGTACGGGAAGTGAAAGGTAAATCGTGCACATTTGTGGACACAATGGTCCCTTGTTGAAGCTCGTGGGAAGCCCGGTGTTCCAGAACACAAGACACTCTCATCGTGACTGTATCAAACCTGAAAAGTCACTTGAATACATTCAACAACACAGTGCGGCCTCATCGAAGTTCAGGAGAAGCCCAGTTTTCCAGAACATAAGATGCCCTGATAGGGAGTGTATCGGACCTGAAACTTCACTTGGATAAATCCGACAATGCAAAAGCATGTCATTGAAGTTCACGGGACGCCCAGTGTTCGAGAGCGCAAGACACCCTAATCATAACAGTATCGGACCTGAACAATCCGTTGTATACACTCAGACAGACAGAGAGTGGGATGACCGCTCTCTCTCTCTCTCTCTCTCTCTCTCTCTCTCTCTCTCTCTCTCTCTCTCTC